TAAAGGGTCTACTGAATGAAACACGGAAGCTACAGCATTCGCTAATGCTGCTAACAGCCATAGTATTGCCAGTCAGTAATTATGTCTCTTTTGTCCCTTCAGTTCGGACTTTACTAGCTTCATAAAAGATGTACAAAGAAGAAATGGGAATACATTGTCAGGTTTGAGCTTAGACGAAATTCTAAGCAGAGTGACAGAACTCATCCTGGACCAGCAAAACCAGGTACCGTGGTGTATGTGGCTGCTGCCTTTTTGACTGTGCCTCTCTGGCAGAGGAAGCAGCGCAGTGCAGTCCAGAAAAGAATGCAAACTCTCCTTTGCTGTCGAGCTCTGAAATAATGAACTTGCTCAGAATTCTTTTCCAATACCTGTCTAGGCACCACCTTCAACAGAGAGACCTCTGAAGTCAGCACCTTCTGCTTCAGCAGCACAGACTGGAACTTGGAGTCAGGAAGTACCTGCAGAAGAAAACGTGCCCAGCCCAGCCAAGGCAAGACCTGCGCATAAAAGCATCTCGAGTAAGAGTCCATCTCGGGCAAATCTCCAGCCATGGGGAAATGTTGGAGCAACACCTAAATCTAAATGGAAAAAACTAGACTGTACGGTAAGTTGTCCACTGTTTTGATGAGTGTGAAGTTATTGCCATGTGCTTCTTATAAGACATGAAATAATCAAAGTATTGCTGGAAAAAATAATTGACTTGTTCTTTTTGTGTACAAAAGCTTAAATATGCTTGGGTAAAATTAGTAACATTATTAATTTACTGGAATTTGCTGATTAATCGTTGCTAGTTTTCAAATAACTTGCTATTTTATATATAGGCCTCCAGTGATGATCCCTGCACAATATGTCATGATGAGCTAAACAGAGACTCGTGTGAACTAGAATGCGGGCATCATTTTCACAGAGAAGTAAGGACTTTTTGTTCTTGTCACTTAGATGCAAGTGTTTACGACCTCTGCTCAGTTAGGTCATTGTTCTGCTTTCCAAAAGTAACCCTCCTCCCCTCTTGCCCTTCACTGCTTGAAGAACAGTGCACAACGTTTTTCTACATGCTTTGTACACCAAGACTTGCTATGTGTATGGTTCTACTGTGTCAGAGAGTTTCCAGTTTTCGATTTTTAGCTGAAATGGTAAGTCGTTATAAACCCTGCGTTTGCCACCAGACAGCAGTTGGGTGTACAACTGCATGTAGTAAGTCAGAACGTGAGAGTAAGAGGATACTTCTGTCCATGACCTTTTCCCATTACCTTATTTGTTCACTGCTGATTTGTTATTGCAGAATAAGTGCAAATGTAAATTGATCAGCGCAGCATCAGAATTGGAGAACAGTTTTCTAACTGCAAATGTTAGTAACATAGAACATGTTGGGAAAGTGCTTACTTGTTAGTGGCAATTATTGACATATTTAAGTTGAACTCTTTATACCGGACTTTGTTTCCTCAACATCATCTTCCCATTCTTGCAGTGCATTAGAACATGGCTTAAGCAACATTCGAGCACCTGCCCCATCTGCCGCGTTCATGCTCTGTTACCTGAAGACTTTCCTGAGCTTCCTGCACGGAACAAGTACGCCTAGACATGGTTTTATTTGGACACATTATAGTAAGATACAAAGTAGCTGCAAAATAACCACGGTGATAAGGAACAGAAATATGATGCCTAGAAAGAGACAGAACCCTGGTTTTATGGAAAACGGTAGAAGGACTCGGGCTGATTCCTTATGTAACACTTTGCATTAAGCTGTAAGACGCTGGTGCTGCCACAGCACCTGCAGAATCAAGATGGCACACTCCAAGACCCAGCGCTTTTCCTGGTTGCTGCCCAAATGTGTGAAGCTGATGCAGTTCAGAGGCCAGCAGCACACACAACTGGTAGGGTTTTTTGGCTAAGGGATATTGAAACTGCTGTATCTACTTTTCTGAAAAGATGGTGCATAATTCCTGTAAAGAGGGGAGGGGCTTTCCTTCAGGGCTTACACCACACTGAAAATAAATTCTAATATCAAACAAGTAGGTGACCTGAATATCAGACTAACAGAATTTGGAACAGCCAAGACATTACCTTCCTCTGGCGTAAACAATTACCATTTAATTCTAGGATTCAAATCAGGCTTGTTGTGATCATTATGAATGAGACTCTCTGCATAAATCCATAGCTAATAATTCCAATTGTTTAAATAATAACTTTTAGTAATATTTTGAAGCAATAATTTTTAAGTATTTATGTGATTCTTTTTGTTTGTGTATCATTGAGTTGGAATACTGTGGCTCAATTCTTTAATTTCGAAATAAGGTTTGAATTTCCCTCATTGTTGGAAGAGCTGATCTGTTTAATTCAGAATTACAGGATTTTTATTTTTGACGAAGCAACACTGCACCTGTGTTCTGTGCATGAATGTTCATCAGCAGCGAGAGGTACAGCATACGAACTGCTGGAAGAACGGTTAGTTCACTGCTTTAAACATCTGAGCTTGCCAGAGAACCTTCGTCACTGTAAAACTTGTCTCCAGTCGCCAAAAGACCAAGACTAGAGAGGGTACAGCTTAACTACTCTGAAGATAGTGTGACTGTTGTTGGGATACAAGCAGTATTAAGTTGATTATATGAGATTGTTAGTTAATTCTAGGGATCATTTGTTCTCCCAAATGAGTAAGTAGCCTCCAGATGAAGTTTTCAACTACTACTGTGATTAATTAGTATATTGACACTTGGATCAAAAATAAAATGTGGGGGTTTTGTGCAATATTTTTGCTAAGTCTGAGTTATCTACTGAGTAATCTACTATATGCTAGAGAGCTGAGGCACCTTGCTGCCTGAAGAATTAGGTACTGCGCTGCTTACATCCTTTGCAGCTTCCCTTATTTTCTTGGGGTGGGGGTATGTACGTATCGTCGTCCTAGCTTTTCACAAAAGCAGCCTGAGTCCCTGGCCCACAGGAGACTTTTCCAGAGCAGAGTTATCCTTGACCTGCTGAGCAGTGGCAAAGCAGCTGTGCACGTGCCCTGTTGGTCAGCGTTCTCCAAATCGAACTTGGTGTGCCTTGAGGTAGTAAGTAAGGGTAAACTGGCTGCGGAAACAGTGCAGTCTTAGT